GTGGTGATTGTTTTTTCAAATCAGTTTCCCTTAGCTCTATGGAACTTCTGATTTACACTTTCAAATTCGTTTGTTAGGAATAGCCCATTTAAATAATAACCCAGAATTGTATGTTGAAAGTATTGGTGATGACACTTGAGAAAATTATATGAAACAAATGTCAAATGCAGGCACATGATGTGACAATCTAATCATTCAGGCAGTAGCAAATTGACACAACTGTGTCATTCATATTACTGAGTCTGATTTTAATGAGGTTGATCTTGGTCCTAAAAATGAAGAGAACATTGTTTATAATGAAGAAACAGAAATAAACAGCTTTCTTTCCATTCCCCAGTGAGAACAGCAAGAAACTAAAGCTATTCAAGAACAATTATCTTCAACCCATCACGATGAGGCCATCTCTTGACCAAAAGTAGATACTGACCAATTAAATGAGTACAAAACTCCATTTCTTGCAACGATGGCTTTCCCAACTTTGTTTACTAATGGTAAGGGTGACCTTACAAACCTATCTCTTTACAAAGATGAACCACTCGGAGAAGCAATGAAGCATCTTTTAAAATATGCAGAAAAGAAAGACAGTAAATGGATTTATTGCTTTGCCTCACACCCTAGACTTTCATACTGAACATTGAATAGCAAATAACAGCAAACGGGAACATTTTTCAACCAGAATCCAGCTGAAGCAAATCTTACAATAGAAGAGCTTCAGCAAATGGCAGCCAATAACAATGCTGATGTATTTCTTTCTACATTATCACGCTATCTTGGTTATATCGGTGGATCAAATGCTTACTGGTTCAAGAAGATGTAAAAACAATCATTAGACATGTTGGACCACAAACCCTCTTTTTTATATTTCCATCAGCTGATATGCACTGGCCTGAATTACATGCACTCTTTGGTAGTGAAAATGATTGCACAGCTGAGCACAGGCATCAGAATGTTGTAAACAGTCCTCATATTACCAATTGGTTTTTCACCCAAGGCTTGGAAAAGGTTATTAAGTTTTGGTCGAATAATTCACTGAATGCAGAGGAGTACTGGTACAGATTTGAATACCAAGCGAGGGGAAGTATTCATTGCCATGGAGTTGCTAAACTGAAAAATGGTCCAGGGCCGATTCTGCCAGTATGTGGACTGGTTGGTATCCACATACCATCCAGTCCCTTCAGACGATGGTACTTGGCTAAAATCGTCAATTCATCCTTGTCAGAAACATCACAACCACATAGAGAGTACTGATGATTGTATTTATTTACTAAATACTGTCCAAAGACACACTCTCTGCAGTTTAAATTATTGTCTTCAAAAAAGAAAAAATGATTCAAATCTTCAGTGTAAGTTTAACTTTCCATTTGAACCTTGCCCATGTACAAAGCTTCAATTTGAGCCTATACATTCAGAAAAAGAACCCAACCAATAGAAAGTAAAGATGGTAACTAGACTTAATAATCACCAACACCTTCAACTGCAGGGCTGGAGAGCCAATTGTGACATTCAGGTAGTCAATGATTATCATGCTTGTGTTGAACACCTTGCCAAATATGCATCAAAAGGCAAGCCACATTCCTCCGCTATGAAATCTGCATTCAATTCCATTCTCTGTAATTGTGACATTGAAAGCAATCCCACGAAACTGAATAAAAAAGGAATAATGAAGTCACTTAGGCAAAGGGGCTTTTCTACACAAGAAACCATCCATCACTTACTGTCACTAATTGGTCATTTAATGTAATACCTATTAATTTAAATGGATCTCATAAAATAGTAACAAATTCTCCTGAAGGAGAAGTGGCAACAAATGATCCCCTTCTTAATTGTTTATACTCACTGTGCAGTGTATGCTAAGGAAATTTCCAATAAACTGAATTTAAATTTAATTACTTTCCCTAAAAAGTACAAACTTGTAAATGTAATGTGTTGATAGTATTGTTTACCGGAAGTTGTGTTAGCCGAAGTTCTCGGACATTGAAAACGTGCAAAAGGATCATGGATAGTTGTGTGGGCCATGCTTTCCAGGTGTCATGGCAGCCAAATAAAGTTTATTTTCTTTCTATAGTTAACTCTGGTTTATTATACGGCCATCTGGGTGACATCGTTACATTGGCGACAAGGATTCAATTCGTTTTATGAGGTAGTGGATGTTTTTGGAAGTCATTTGTGTGGAAAGTCCTAGCATTTTGTCAGAAAGGTGATGGAGTAGAACCAGTTTGAGTACAACTTCAAGTTCACAAGCTTTGCCAGCTGCGACATTTATTCCTCTTCTTGATGTGGCCAGCCTTTCCCCCTTCAATCCAAAGGAAGATCTGAACACCCTTGCAGCTCACTGGAAGTTGTGGAAATGCTTGTTTAATCTGTATTTGGTGGCAAAGGGTATTACGAAAGATGAACAGAAAACTGCATTTCTTTTGCATACTGGAGGGTTGAATTTTCAGGAGCTTTATTACACGTTATTGACTGGTACAGATATCAAGCCGTTCGCTAAGAGTATGGTGTTGTTGGATAACTGTTTCGCACCACAGTTGAATGTTCCATTTGAAAGACATCAGTTTAGGCAAATGGAACAAATGTCAGGAGAGTCGGTGGATCAGTTCTTTTGTCAGTTGAGGCAGAAAGCAATCTCCTGTGAGTTTGAAAATGTTGATGAGGCAACAAGGAATCAGCTTATTGAGAGATGCAGGCATCACAGACTTCGCTGTAAGTTCCTTGAGAAAACAAATGCTACTCTGAAGGATTTACAAGATTTGGCTCATGTGTAGGAAGCAGTGAACATGCAGGTCAAGGCTATGGATCAGTCATCCGGTCAGGTGAATGTTGTCTCCAGCAAACCTCACAGCAAAGGAACAGGAAAAAGGACAGCACAGGGTAGAGGCAGAGGAAATAAGCCTGGTAAACCATCTAGTAGTTCTCAGGAGACAAAAGTGAGTGGCTGTCTTTGTTGTAATTACACTGACCATATGGCAAGTGACCAGAATTGTCCTGCCCGTAGCAAGAAATGTAATGCATACAGCGAGATTGGACATTTTGCAGTCAGTTGCAAAACAAAGGAACTCAAACCTTCCGCAAGAGATGACGAGGGAAGGAATAATGCACGGAGGAGAGCTTACCAACTATCAGAGGACTCAGCCACCGGCCAACAAGATTATTATGCATTTGCGGTTGGAGTTGGTCAGCCTAAAAGTGGTAGTCAAGTAGATTTGAAGACTGGAGGAGTGATGTTACCTGTGGTACATCTCCACAAGATGCTTCACGGGTCAGATCATTTGTTCAGCTTGTACAGTATTCTGCAAAGTTTCTTCCCAACTTCGCGCAAGAAGCAGAACCACTCAGGAGCCTCCTGGGGAAGAGTGAGCCTTTCATCTGGGGTGAAGCTCAAGAAAGGGCCTTCCAGAAGTTGAAACAGCTAGTTGCACAGGCCACTACACTTGCATATTTCAGAGGAAACTGTAACACGCGTATTATTGCCATTGCAAGTCCACAGCAGTTAGGTGCTGACTCAACTTCAAAACAGCGAGTGGCAAGCAATCTCGTATGCGTCCAGGAACCTCACTGAAGTGGAATGGAGATACAGTTAGACTAGGAAAGAGGCCCTTGCCCTAGTATGGGCTTGTGAGAGGTTCAACATTAATGGATGCAAATTTGAACTTGAAACTGATCACAAGCCACTTGAGTGTATTTTTGGCAGGCTTTCAAAACCATCAGCACGTATTGAACGTTGGGTTCTGAGATTGCAGGGGTATGACTACAGCGTTGTTTATCGGCCTGGCAAAGCGAACATTGCGGACGCTCTCTCGAGACTCAATCAATGTGAACCTAAAGACACAAGTGGGGAGGAATTTGAGTTTGTCAAGGAGGTCGCTGAGGAAAGTTTACCTGTTGCTCAGACAGTGAAACAAGTCGAATTGGCTTCTGATAGTGACCCAGAAGTTGCTAGCCTGAGACAGTACATTTTAAAAGGGGACTGGTCTCAGTGAAGGATGACAGCTTATGTGTGTCAAGGACGAATTGTGTGTTGGGCAAACTTGTTTTGCGCGGCTCAAGAATTGTTATTCCAAAGCCTTTACCAAAAGAAGTCTTGCGTCTTGCCCACAAGGGACATCGGAGCATTGTCAAAATGAAGGTATGTTTAAGGTCAAAGGTTTGGTGGCCAAAGATTGACTCAGACGCAAAGTGGGTGTGTAAATCTTGTCATGGATGCCAAGTCGTAGGTAAGTTTCAGGTTCCTGAGCCCATGAAAAGAGTAAAGCCGCCTACTGGACCCTGGCAAGACATCGCCATAGACTTGATGGGTCCTCTTCACACTGGAGAAAGTTTGCTCGTAGTCGTAGATTATTACAGTAGATTCTGAGGAAGCAATCATGCGCTCAACAGCAGCTAAGAGAGTGGTGGTTGACACAGATATTCTCCAGATATGGATTTCCATTTACACTCAAATCTGACAACGGTCCTCAATTTTGCTATGAGGAGTTTGATAAGTTTCTCTCTGATCACGGAATCGAACACTTGACATCTCCACCGCTCTGGCCGCAGGCCAATGGACATGTTGAAAGACAGAATAGAATTCTGCTTAAGTCTTTGAAAGTTGCGCACGTCGAGGGTAAGAACTGGTGTGAATAACTACAGAAGTTTCTATTAGCATATAGAACCACACCGCAAACAAGCACTGGTGTTACTCCTGCGTTCCTTGTGTTTGGCAGAGAGTTGAAAACAAAGCTTCCAGAGTTAAGGTGCGCTGGAAACCTGTTGAATGAGTGGGTCAGAGATCGTTGTTGGAATCACAAGTTGATCCACGAGGAACATGCTGACAACAAGCGAGGTTTGGCAGAGAGTTGAAAACAAAGCTTCCAGAGTTAAGGTGCGCTGGAAACCTGTTGAATGAGGGGGTCAGAGATCGTGATTGGAATCACATGTTGATCCACGAGAAACATCCTGACAACAAGTGAGGTGCTACCAAAAGCCCTGTAACACCTGGGGATCTGGTTTTACTGAAGAACATGAAAACATCTGGCAAGCTGGAAGCAAATTTCGAGAGTGAGCCATACACTGTGCAGACTAAGGAAGGTAGTGAGGTGACTGTTAGCTCCAAGGATGGTGTGGAATATAGGCGGAACAGTGCATTGGTTAAGCGGTACAACCCACCAGGGGAATTACCAGAAACCACAGAGGCCATTTCTCAAGAAACACCCAATACCCTTCCACTGGAGGAGAGTATAGTGACATCAAGACCAAGGCGGACTGTCAGAATGCCGGAGAAGTACAAGGATTATGTACTTTATGAACTGAACTCTGTTGACACGTTGGACTTATGTTGAAGTCTGTTAGATTCGGTTTCATGTTACTAGATTTTATTCAACAGTTTTTTGAGATAACTCAATGCGAGCGGAACAGTTTTCAAGCAGATTTTTTTTTTTGCTGTTATCTGTTTGTTTCTAAAGAAAGGAAAGGATTTAATGTATTGATAGTATTGTTTACTGGAAGTTGTGTTAGTGGAAGTTCTCGGACATTGAAAACATGGAAAGGATCATGGATAGTTGTGTGGGCTATGCTTTCCAGGTGTCATGGCGGCCAAATAAAGTGTAGTTTCTTTTTATAGTTAAATCTGGTTTATTATACAGCCATCCGGGCAACATCATTACAGTCAACAAAAAACTTGCAGCACAGGCAGCTAATATTGTTCTTAGGGTTTTTCCTGTGTACTCTCCAAATAACAGAGGCCCAAATTTCTCCCTTACTGTAAATACCAGCTGATCAGATATAAACCCTGGCAGAGAACCCAAGAAAATGCTAGGGGTAATCAACCAGGTAATGATGAAATTTACATCACTCAATGGAAAAATGTTTAGAAACCCCATATGCAAAGGAACATGTTTCTGACTGGCATGATAAGTTAGACACCATGTAGAATTACAAGAAAGATGACACTGAAATAGAACATACTACATGAGAACTTCCTCAATGCAAGGAATGGATGCTTTTAGCAGATCTTGTTCTGAGATCATGAGCTTCAGATATTCAATTACAAAAGATTAGTAACTCAGATTACAATTGGCAAACTGACAGATTGAAATATCAAGGAAGTCAAATAAAACAAATGTCTCCATGGATAAAAATCAACAGGGATGCATCAACTCAAGAAAGTTTGTAGTGAAGAGAAAATGTTGATATCAGTACTTTTAGTAATATCCAGAAGTGTGCCTATGATATCATCAAATCACATTCAGAGCAACCTCCTCCAAAGGATCCATTACTAGTTAAAATAATAGGTGATAGGGGTACAGGAAAAAGTTACCTATAAATGCCAATAAAAACCTTCTTCAACATTCATGTGCAGTAACTGCCACAACTGGCAAGGCTTCATTCAGCATACATGGATGTACTATCCATTCACTTTTGAAACTTCCTGTTGCTCAAAAAGGGAATAAAGAACTATGTGAACAGAGCCTTGTTAGACTCCAAGTGCACTCAAAAACATTGATTATCTTGTAATTAATGAATATTCCATGTTAGGCCAAAAAATGCTTGCCTGGGTTGATAAGCCGTGCAGACAGGCGACCAGTTTGACTGACCAACTCTTTGGTGGTAAATCAAAAATATTTGTGGGAGATCCTGGCCAATTACCACCTGTAGCAGGTAAGCCTCTTTACCTCTCAAAGCCCTCTGGTGCTTTACAAGAACAAGGTCACTTAGCTTATGTCATGTTTACCACTATTGTGAAATTGAAATTTAACCATAGAGTACAAGGCCCCAGTCCAGAACAAATTAGACTCAGAGGTCTATTACGCAGATTACAAACAGGTGATTGTAATCATGATGATTGACAAACAACACCCTCAACAACCAGCCACGGCAAATGATGTAATAGAGTTTACAGATGCAATTCACCTCTATTATATGAAGAAGTTGGAAATCAACTTTGAAAAGTTATCAACACTTCAGCAACCAATAGCAAGAATTGATGCATGACACTCAAGTGATAGCTAAAAAGAGGAGTCCTGATGATATGTCTGGACTAGAACCTGCAATTTTCCTTGCAAAAGGAGTACATTCATGCTTACAATGAATTTGTGCACAGATGCTGGATTTTGCTGTGGTGTAACTGTCATTATTGTAGACTTTATTTATGCTAGCAATATGCAACCCCCTGATTTAGAAATGTCTTAATGTGTACTTATATGTCCTATAAACATAACCTCTGATACTTCAGGAGTCCATGAAAGAAAGCAGCTTCCTCTAAAGCTTGCTTGGCCGATAACAATACACAAAAGTCAAAGACTGACCCCATCAAAAGCATGGATTGACATTGGTAAAACTGAGGCAACACCTGGAATTACATATGTTGCAGTCGGTATAGTAAGAACTCTTTCATCTTGCATTATTCAATCAGTGAGGTTTGAAAGACTGACTAGCCATAAAAATCAGTAGGCATCCAGTTTAGGATTCAAGAAGAAACCTGACCATAGAAACTTTCTCAGAACATGTAACTGGTCTTAGAAAATGTTCAAATTTGAAATTTAGACTTCAAGAAATCTCCCTTGATTAACTGGCATCAAGAATGTGCTATAATAGCTCTTGCTAAAACAACTCAATGCTTATGGTACAAATCAGTAATAAAAAAACAAAACAATAGGAAATCAAACTATTGACTTTCCTAACAGCCTATCATAAATAAAAACAAACAAGCCAAAAGTCCAAATTTGACCATTGTTATTTAAATTTAATTTTGTTTCACAGGAATTATTAATTCAATTTATCCTTTTGTTATTCAAGCTCCTTTTCTTTGAATTAGCATATATATATGTATTTTGTTCTCTTTCCTATGTTGTAATGGTTTTTGTGTGAGCAGAATAAAGGTTGTAAAATCAACAACTAATATAAATCATGTCTATTTTCATTGAACAAATTCACAAGTATAACCTGCTACATCCACAATGTGTCACCTATTAAGAAGTCTGAAACTAAAAAATACTTCAAATATATTATACAGACAGAATCAGATGAGTGAAATGGGGTCTGCTTTGCCATAGATAAAAGGGAAATGCTTGATTCCTTGGCACAGTAACAGTAACCAGTGAAGATACACAAGTACTCACTCAGCAACAAGTTTGGTAGAAAGGATATTGTTATCAAGAAGAACAACTCAATGTCACCAACCACACGAGTTCAAATATCAAGATCTAGATGATGTAACATCCATTGCATGACTGTCACAAGTTACAACAGGCCAACTTGTTAAAATCAAGGGACATGTGGCACACTCATCACCAACAATGACAGCTCTTCTTGACTCAAGGCAAGCGAAAAAACAAGAAGCTTTTATTGATAATCCATCTGGATACATCAAGCTTGTGCTATGGAGAGGTCATGCAGACAGTGTTTCAGAAGGCTCCACTCAACTGTTTGATAAAGTTACAGTAAAACTTACTCATCAAGAGAAATACCTTGACACTCGAAAAAGTGACGCCAAATGCAAAATATCATTAGTTAACAACTTCACAGAGAGCCTCCAACCAGTGCAAAACATCTCTACTGTGAAAGACCTAACAGGCAAAATCCTTGGTGTTACAAATCTAAATAAGTGCCCGCTACAACTGCTCCTGCAACAAAAATACAACTACAGAAGGAAACTTGGCATTTTGTATTAACTGCAGCATGACATTGAAATTCAACTGTTGCAAGCTGCAGTGCACCCTCAGGCTATATATACTAGAAACAAGCAACCCACACAACAAAGTTAGAGTTTCAGTGTACAATGAAGATGATCTATTGCCTCCTTGCCACATCAACAGATGATGAAATCATTGAGAAGATTTTGGACTTGGAATTGGTAAAGGTCTCTAATGACTCTCAGAACAATAAAGTAATTTATATTGATCAAATTAAAGTACAGAAAACATTACTTAGGCTCCTGAAACTGAAGCTAACTTGTCAAGAACTTGCACTGCAATGTTCAAAAATGAATATATCATCAGTTCTGTTCAAGATGTTGTTAATTTACAGTTCATATTATCATTTGAGCATTTACAATTTGAGCAGTTGTAATCATTACTCATTTAAAGAAAAAATCATTCCAAGTTGTCATGGACCTCAAAGCTGTCATCTGCAAGAGTAAACTTGAACTATCCACAAATGAGAATTATGCAAGTTGTCTTCATAATGTCTTAACCAAAGTACTTGTTGGAAAAAAAGAAGACAAAGTTTGGAAGATTTTGTACTCTAATTTGAAGACCTATCTTATCACTGTCACTAATTATAGTGGACTAACTGACATTAAGACTTTTCTATGTCGGAAAAGATTTCTCTTGCTACCTTTCAAACTAAACATGACTTACCTATGAGTCAATTTCCACCATTCAAAATTAACATAATACATATTGTTTTGTTTAAGTTGTTGAGTTATAGTTCAATGTAAAGTATACAAATACTTTTTTAATTCACCCTCTGTGATAAGTCTGTTAACTCCTCGACTTTTCTTTATTTTGTTTAAGTTGTTCAGTTCAAGTTCAAATTAAAAATTAAAAATACTCATCAAGTTCACTTTTAGACTGTGATAATTGTCTTAACTGCTCTTCTGCATTAATACACAATTCTGCTCTTGTCACAATCTGTCAGGTTTGTAAAAAATTCATCATATAAAGTAAACATATGCAAATGTACTAGACAACACCTTTGTTCCAATGGTCTGCCCAAGTTTATTAGCTTTGCATATACCTCTACACCTTTGGGGTGGCACACGATGTCAACTTTGCCTAAGTACCTTAACACAAGCGCACTCATAATCTGTGATTACTTCAAGTAATACAAATTAAATTAAGACCAGACAATTTATAATAGTAAAGAGAAATTATTACAAGTAATATTTTAGATAATAGCAGTCATAGCATAAAACATTATGGGTACTATGGGTGCTGTTCTGTGCTGTTAGCTTATCTCTAACACAATGTAAAGTTTTCCTGCTTTTTAATTCTTTGAGTCAACTTATTTTGTTTTCCAGTGTCATATACTTTTTAAAGTTTGACTAAGAATTCATTGAATTTATTCCTCCCATGTTTGCAAATTACCTTCAATTAAAAAGGCCAGTTATCTAAAGGATGTGGGTTCATGGAGTTGGGATGCACGTGTCAGGGACAATATTTTAAAGACATTAATTCCCATATTTGTTTGTTTATTACAATTTTTTAAACTAATATTTGGATTTTAAAACTTGATTGCATTGACACCTCTTCCACCTTTTGAAATGACACTTGCCAAGGCTGGAGTTTTCTTTAATGTTGTTGACATTGATGACCTAAAATTTGTTGTTTGAAAGGAAATACCTACTGTTGATAATAAAAACTGTTACAGATCACTTTTTGATTATCACTTTAAATATATGTTATCATTAAAATGTTAACAATCTCTTTAAGCCTCTTAAAAGTTATTCATGAGCTCTAGTGAGATATCATGGTGCTCAATACTAGTTAAGATTTAATTAAGAAATCTGGCAAGTTCTTTCCGACACTTTTGTCATCCCTATCCCCAATTTTAGATCTTTCAAATACTGCTTCTAAACTCCCTCTTACCAATCCACACCCATCATCACATACATGTAGAAAGTTAGTGGGTGAGATGTCATTTTCTCCAATGGTTGTAATCTAAATTTGTATTTCAAATTGATTTCACTATTTTTGTCAATCCAAACCAACAAAAACCAACAAAAGCAACAAGAACACTGTGTAAGTTGCTTCCAAGTTGTTGATTTTCTTCTGCCACCATCAGATTTAATCAGAACCACAACTTCACCATCTAGCCTCTACAAAAACAAACACACCACTTCTTTTGTGTTGCTGACTAAATGACAAAAGTTGTTTCTGTTTAAGTTAACACCTTGATTGACATGTAATTGATAATTTATTTGTGATTAACTGTTTAAGGCATAGCTGTTGAGGCCAGAAAATTAACCTGTGATCTATCAGTGAAACAATTTTTGACCATGCTTTCAGTTTACATGCACACTTTCTTTGCTTACCTGTTGAACTGTTTGCCAACCTGCTAGTTATTCTTTGATCCCAAAAAGAGAATGCCACAGAAGTAAATCCTGTTGTTTACCAATTGGACTTTAATTACTCTCATTTTAGGTCTCTTCTATTCCATTTTTATAAATCTGCCATTTTTAGATTTCTTAAGTATCTGTATTTCCTTCTCATTAGATCGTATTAAGATGCTATAAGTTTTGTGGTGACATGCCAATTGTTGAGGGTGAACCCCAAAGTATCTTTATCATGATTTTTATCAAATGAAAAGCCCCAAGATATTGGATACCATATGTTTATCATATATTTTGTTGCTGTTGTTTTCTTGGTGTGTGTGTTCTTTTGTTTTTGACCTAAAATATTTTGTACCTAAATTACATCATAACTTATATCTCACTTTTTAAAATATGAGGAGTCTGTCGCTCAAATAAGCCTTATGGTTTCTTCAAGGGTTTACTCATAACATGTTAAATTTTCAGCTATATTAAACACTTTGGTTACAAGAAAAAGGGAAAACAATTGGCCTATGGTAGTAGGAACTGTTAAACATCAGGGGGCAACATTATGTGGATCCAATTAAATTCAGCACATTCACTGGGTAATGGAGATTCTGCCTTGTCATCATGTGCACTACAAAGTCACATGAAAAAGCACCTGCTGCCCGAGTTATCCATGCTCTTCCTCCCTTTGTCCCAGGCTGAAATTAATTATATCATATAGTTATATATATAAGTGGCAAAAAAAAAAACTTGGCAGTAATCTGCTAGATTCTGCTTTGGGTAAAAATCACTCAGAGTGATACTTGCAAATGGACTCTGAACAAACTAAACAGCACAGGGCAGATTCTGTTGCCATGGCAACAGGAAAAGAAGCCATTGTGGCTGTCATTGGAATCATGAGTGACCTGCTTGTTTCTTTCCTCTCTTCATTTAACTCAACCATGACTGAATTCTTCAGTGATATGAAGGCAGTGCTGGAAAGCCTCATTGTAAAGGAAACTCCAATGACAGAACAAAAAAGCCTACCAATGGGGCAACCAGATGTTCCTAATCAAGGAACTTTGGCATTGGAGCCAGAAATATTTGAAAAAGATCAGCAATCTGACTCAACTAAACAGAGCATTACAAACCTGATAAGTCAGAGCTCAGAGCATGACCAAGAAGCTGTTGGCAAAATTCACGTGCTATCAGGCATAACAAACGACCTCAAACTTGATCACAAGAAAGACCATGCTGTTAAACAGCACTTAGCAAAGATTGTACATGGCCTTATGAGAGAACGCACTCAGATGAGGTCCTATCCGAGACACAGAACTGATATAATAGACCTTATCATCTTATTTGGGATAAACTCAAACCTGACACAGGGTCAAACATCAAATACAATGCATGCAATCTGTGCTTCAAAAAGGAGTTATCCCCATGGTCTCTATTGTTGAGAAGCTTGTTGAGGAAAAGGATTAAGTTCCTAATGATGTCTTGAACGTTCCAGGCTTAATCAGGGCAGCCACAGATGCCACTGCTCTAATAGGAGCTGCAAACTTCAAATTGAACATGTGATGACAAGATAATATTAAACCGAACTGAACCAAAATTTTAAACACTTGTGGTCAAGCTCTGTGCCATTTATAGAGTATGTTTTGTGACGACTTCGAATTGTCAAAGCAACTTAGAGACCCTGGTTGAGGTTACAAAAGTGAGTAAAAACCTAAGTCAAAGCAACTTAACATGGACACCCACAAAAACCAAGGATCCAGGAGTTTCAAGTAAAACAAATCAAAAGGATTTGGATACAAGTAGAGAGTATGAGCAGCCAACAGTTCAACTGGAAAAGGCCCAGCCCCACATACAACAAGCAGAATCAAGAGGGGAGGAAGCAAAGCAAATAGGGCCAGAAAACCACTCTACTGAGGTTTGGAATGTTTCTTTAAGCTGGAAGATTACACCAATTTTTTTTCCCAGCATGGAAAAAAATTAACAATGACATCTTGGACTGGGTCATTGTCATATTGAATTTATCAACGATGTCTCACCAAATCAGTGTGGTGGCTCTTAACAAGCATAAAATTCAGTCCCAAAGAATCAATTACTATTAAAGCAGAAATTGAAAAACTCCTGGACAAAGAGGTTATTGTGGAGTTAGTTCACTCTATGAGAGAATTTTTCTCACCTATTTTTCTCACACCCAAAAAGAAAGGGATAGAGTACAGAATGATTCTTAACCTAACAGAATTGAACAAGTCTGTGGTCTATCAACACTCTAAAATGGACTTCCTAAAATGTGTTACAGGCTTAATGACCCAAGGGTGCTAGATGGCCTCAGTAGACATAAAAGATACCTACTACACTGTGCCGGTAGCTCTGGCACACCAAAACCATTTAAAATTTATATAGTGGGACAAACTCTACCAATATACTTGCTTACCTTTTGGTCTAGCCTCAGCAAAAAAAATCTTGACTAAGCTCTTAAAACCAGTGTTTAAGATACTCAGAGAGAAAGGCTATATATCTTTGTCAAATATAGATGACTGTTATCTTCAAGGTGACACTTTTGATGAAAGTCTTGCTAATGTTTAAGACACTACCTTGCTTTTTGAGGAACTTGGGTTTCCCACACATTGTGGAAAATCAGTGCTTATACCAGCTCAGGCACTGACACTCTTGACTGTACAGTAGGCTACTGAAAAGGAAATAAAAAATGCAAAATGCCTACAAAAACCTACCCAAGAAGAACACTTGTAAATTCTGAAATCTGGCAGAGCTTATAGGCCTGATAGTATCCAGCCTCCCAGGGATGGAATATGGCCCTCTCCACTACTGTAGTTTTAAGGCAAATGAAACTAATGCTTTGACCCTCTCCCCAAAGGCCAAGTCAGAGATTCATTGGTAGCTCTCAAATGTAGATTCTTCATTCAAATATATCCCACATGGGGAACCTGTTTGTCATATCAAAACGGATTCCTCTGCCAATGGATGAGGAGGTGTAAGGGAAAACCAGAAGACAGGGGGGAAATGGACCACCACAAAAACTACCTTGAATTATTAGCAGTAGTTTTGACTCTGAAGGCTTTATGTGAGGATTGGAAGCCTGACCCTGATGCTGCATTTGTTGATGCTATCTCTGCTAATTGGTAAAAATTCTCCTTTTATACATTCCTTCTTTGTAACTGGGGTGAATAGAAGTAAATGTTATAAAAAAACTTATTGTCGTAGAATATGTCTTGTCCTAAAGAGAGGCTAAAGTGGGGAAGCAAGGTTATTTCTATGTGTAAACCAGTCTTTTCAAAGTTACTGATGCACCGTGTGCTTCTGATCATACTCATTCACATTTTGCCTCTGTTACTGACCTTTTGTACTTTGTTCATTGCCACTTTTCATTTCATCAACATGCACTAATACATTTTAAGAAATTTTAAATTGTACCTAAATTGTACCTGGCACTGTTTTATTTTACAGAAAACCTTGCATTGAAATATGAGGGTTTTACCAGTACCAAAATTTACAAAAACTGATATTGTTTAAAATTGTATTTGCTACTGTTTGAATATTGGCAAAATTCCATTCAGAGGTAGTCGCAGTTTGATTTAGTTTAACATCTGATTAGCTGAGAAACTCTCCTAAGCAAAACAATGATGTGGTTACAAATACTTTTGACAGTGGTTTGATCACCATTCTATTACCTAGTTATTACTACTGCTCTTTTAAATACATTTTTGCCAGTTATCCATTATGAAGCAGGACTCTTGTTATTGAGATTCCCTGTACAAGACTGCCTTTGCTAAAATTTGATGTCTCGTTCACAACTCTTTTCATTATCTCTAGAACCAGAAGTAAAAGAGGGAAACCTTAAAGGAGTTACTACAGGCTATGTTCACAACCTGTCCTTAATAAAGAAAAAAAAGAAAACCAAATAGTTGAATTGTCAAATCCAACCTTAAGACAGAACTTTAAAAGCTGCCTCTAATGCCCTACACCAGTCACAAAAAAAACCACCAGTCACAGTGCTTTCTGCAAGACTACTTCACCTAATACCTATGCATCTATTGACATCCTTTCATCATACCTTCCAAACAGACCCAAAGGGCAGTACAGCTGTAAACATGCAATTTCCTTTTGCACTAGACACAGGTATGCAGTGCAGACCTATTTTTCCTATTAGTGAACCAGGTATAATGTATTTGAGTGTGTTGACTTCCATATGTAAAAACTTGGTCATTTATAAAAACTGTTGTTTTATGTCACGAAGATGTCATAGTTTCTAGCAATGAAAACTTTTGCAAACATAATGCAACATAGACAAAGTTTTCAGGAATGTCACATATAATAACAACAGTATTCAACAGCCAATATTTTGAAAATAGAGCCTAATTATTTACAAAAGCAAACCTAAGAACTTCTTGTAATAAAACAGTATGGTTTTCTGTCCTTTTTTATTGTAGCAGGTTGCAACCATGGTCAAGTGAGTTTTGCTTCAGAGCAAGTTCTGTTACAACGACCTCTGTATCAACCTACAAACAAATAAAATATCCTACCTGAGCACTAAATATGACACATGCCTATCAACACCTTTTATTTCGTCTCTCTCAAGGACTGATCTCGCAATCACGTACGCAGAGGAAAGAAATTCTCCAGCAAATTAAAAGGGTTGCTTTGAATCGATAATGCAACTTTCCACTAGAAATAAACCATACGAGCCATATCGGTAAAATCAGCAAAATATCTTAGAAGTGAGGAGGCTTGGTCTGAATAGTACACTATACAAACGGCAGAATTTGAAACTTTAACGCCACCAAGGTAATGAAAATGGTTCGCAAACCTTAAGAGAGCAATGATCCTGAAATGCGTATGACTGTAAATCACTCGATCCGATTTCTTCTTCCCATATCTTCCGGGACTTTAAACCTACAACTACGCCACACAAATTGAACAAAAGTCAGAAATAACAATTACCAAGATATTTTAAATAGCTACGAATTAGATCTTGAGAGCTAATCAGGATTACGTTTGAAGTCCAACCCACAATTACACAACTACTCGTTGCTGTCACATGATCAAGCAAGACGAGCTATGACCTGAGTAATGGAAATTTCCCCAACAAAAATATTTTTACCCTAACTTTTTTAAGTTAAGAGCTATTAACAGGTTGTAATCACACAATGGATGCCCCTTCCCGGGACAAGTTCACCATGTACTGACCTACGCGCTATTGCGTTACAGATTCCCCGCGAAATGAACTGGCCCGGAGAAGGACACAATCACGTGGATCTGTCAGGTAACACAGCGGTCAAACGTACGGCATGCGCAAGGCCATCAGTTCTTACCGGCATTCGCGCTAATTTCCTGCGCAAATTTCAAAACTGGGAACTGGAAATTATCAGATATCGTAAACAGAGGTTTGTAGTTTGTCATCGAGGTAAATAAAACTTTCAACAGAAAATATAGTCGTTTCTTCACGATGTGGCCATTTTGAATGTGAACCGAGACGTTTCGACTGCTTATTGCTAATCTTCTTCAGGGGATGAGGTCGGTTGAGTACGCGTCACCCACACGGTGTTGGGTTGTGTCCTCGTGTACCGGTACACAAAGGAACGAAACATTAACGAACTGCGTCACTACTCCATGTATGGATGTGAAAACAATAGGAATTCCCCCGTGTACCGGTACACCAGGACAGCCCCCGGTGTTGTGCTCAGCTGTAATCTGTGATATCAAAAGTCCGTCGCGCTCGCTTGTTTCGCGAAAGGTTGCTCGCCAGGAATCAGTCCCCTAAGTGGGGCTACGTTTTAGCGAAGCAATTTTTATTTGCTCACATGTATGAGAAAATGTTTTCAAGTTTTTCGTTCACAAGTCCCTCTAACTTGCTGGTTGTGGGCAGCAAAAGTCTGCGCATGCGTAAGAGACCAGCGGCATAAGACACGCGCTAATTTGAAGTTACTTCTTACCTTCATGGGCAGAAAAAAAAATTTTCATTTATTTTAATTTTACTCCATTTAATTCAGACATTGTACCTAAAACTTCCCAAAAAACCAAATTTTAGCTTCCGAGTTAGTTAGGAAAACGTATTTTCAAATAAAAGGTGATAAATCAGGAAGGTGTCCAAATCTCGTACCTGGGTGAATCTCCCGGGAGGAATTTTCGTAGCAACCTTTCATCTTGAGGATTGTTTTTCATGTTATTTGTATATATTGTTAAAATTTCGCACTTGACAAAATTCAAATGTGGTTCCTTTTTACTAAGGGAAGAAGAAGAGAGACGTCGTTGGTAAAAAAAAAAAAAAAAGGAAAAAAAAAAAAAAGGAAAAAGAAGAAAGAACTGGCCCAAAGAAGAAAGACAGAGAACCAGTCTATCAAGAGAAGAAACAACTCCTCGGTGAAAGCCACAGGTACTGGTGGAGCTCCACGCTGGCGTCCAGATTTCGAACAAAGAAGTCGCCGTCATACCAAAATTTGTCATACATAATGTTAAAAACTAGGTTTCCATTTGTTTATCCAAGTACCAGAAATACTTCACATTCCTACCTATTTTAGGTAATAAACTTTAAGTGGACTAGGAAATGGGCATGTAACTATGCCATTTTGCCCAAGTAACATTAAAAGAATGCACATTATTAGAAGACAGATCACAGAAAACAGGGTGTATCTGCTAGTCAGCTTTTGAGTTACAGTACAATACCCAGTAACCAACATGTAGCATTCATATCAAACAGTTACAGAGGTAAATGAGATGACTCTGTTGCTTTTAAAGCGACACGTTCTTAATACAAGTTTTAAGATAACTTTGATATCCTTAATATTTCGTGGAATTTGTCCCAGAAGAAAGCGCTCGGCAAAAATATCTTCTACAGCCAAGTTTTAGTTCCTCAAATTATTAATGTTTCTGTTGTCAAACACCTGGTGTTAACCTTAGTTATCTTCCCTAACCCTAAGCTGAAATGTTTCATAATTTTAATGGTGGATAACTTCCACTGAGTGAATTATGTCATCACCATCATCATTAATTTTAATAGTAATTATGTAGATGTATGAAGTATGTAAACCTCGATTATGCTGCAGAGGAAGACAGCCTTTGCATTGATTATAACTAATTACGGTTTTTCTCCCGACTGGCTCTTTATAAGTGGTCTTTGAGGCAAATGTTTTGTTGGCGCTTTTCCGACAACTTGTGCACCACTATGTCCCCTCAATAGTCCATAAAGTCTCGTGGGAATGGATGTATTACTCAGAGTGGAAGAATGAGACGGTAACTGGCACAAGTAGATCTTGTTCCTTTTTTCGTAATTTATGATAATTAAATTTACACTCAAAATTTCCTTTCCACTTCTGCTACACGAGCCATTTTAGTGTTCAAGGCAACCATTCTTCTTTTACAAGCAGAGATACGGCGTGTTTTTCCTCTGAGACAACAAACCTTTTCGCCAGGCGGTTTGTCTGCTGAGGAGGTGATAAAAAAGAAGTGCTGTGACAATAACACGGGCTACGAAGTTTGTGGCCACGTTGAAAATGCTCTACCTTACAACCAAACTTCGCACTTGTTGCCAAAATATTTTTTTTGTTGGATAAGATATTTGGCAGAGGAGGTTTGACAGAAACTATCCTGAAAATGGTAACCTTATCTGTTTTGGTAACAGCTTTTCCTAAGAAAAAATACAAACAATAGGAATTTAAAAAATGCTGCCATTTTGCGCTATAATGTTACAGTGGAAATTTCTTTATTCCCATTCCTTTTCGCACGCAGAATTTCATGCGCGTCATAAGCATGCACACTCATTTTGCTATTGCGTTGGTAGAGCTGTGTAGCATCTGCCCGTATGCCGTCAGGAAAAGGATCCTACATTCACCTTCACAAACGTCTAAGCAGAGACCACTTTTCTTGTAAAGAACAACCGCAAGAAACTTTGTACAGCCTCTAACAATTTTCGAAAAATGTTTTTCTCCTTTAAAACAATGGAAGTAGGAAAATGTCTTCAATGACAACAAAATGCCTCGGGTTTAAATCCCAGTCTTTAGTTTTTCGCGTATTTTGCTGAATTTTTTACCTTGTGCGCTTGAGCTTGCGTTGAAGGCCTCATAATACGCATTTGCCATATGTGTTGTGCTATCTTCAATAATGGGAAGCTGAAAGCGTTCCCTTTTTATGGCTTTATTCAGGTGTCTTGGGTGCAAACAGATGCGCAAATTTCCATCAGGCTCTTCCACAATGGCCGTTTAATTTACCCAGTCTGTAGGTTCTTCCACTTTGCGAATCACACCTCTCTTCTCCATATCCTCTAATTCTTTTTTCACTCTCTCTCGAAGTGCAGCTGGTATAGTTCTGGGGGGTTATAACGGGTGTAACTGTTGGGTCTACCTCAATGTGGTAAGGTTTTTTTTTCCAAACGGCCCAATCCAGTGAATACTTGCTTCTATTTCTTAATTACCTCTTCCTAAGATGCTTTTGCAGTTTGGCTGCTGTCATCCGGTATGGTTTGCTCCTCTTCTTTCTTGGTCAAATTCCTACTTTAATTGGGCCCAAGTTTTGTGAATATCGAAGTTCCAGCAATCCCGGCTGATTAGTTTCTACTACATGGAAAGTTAACTCTTGATCAGCATCTAACTTGGATTTCACATATAGCCCTCCGGTTCCTAGGAATTTGAGTTTATTTTCTGAGTAGCTAACCAGTATTTGGTTGCATGGATCTATATGAGGGTTGTCCCCTGCGATCTTTTTGAGTTCCTTTAGTGGTATGATGTTAACCTGTGAACCAGTATCCACTTTAAGTCGTGTAAGGTGTCCCTGTACTGGTAAGGTCATATAGCATACATCATTCTGAATTTGAACTTCTGTAGTGACTGCTCCCACAAACAGCGTAGACTCACAATCATACTCTTCTCCGGTTGACATTGGCCCATGTACTTTCTTTTACGACCTGCACATGCTCAGGAAATGATGTTGTCTCTGACAATTGTGACATGTCTTGCCGTACACCGGGCATTCTCTCACACCATATCTTGTTCCACAATTTGAATGAAAATTGAATGAAAATTTATTTGAATTAGAGGGGTGTTTGCCTTCATTGGCTGGGGGTGTCTCTCTAAATGGTGCCTCTTTAGCTCATTCACGCTGAAAGCAATGAATGAGGTATTGTGGTGAAGCAGATGTTGACGGAAGTTGTATTCCGTGGACTGAAGTTGCGTTGTAGACCGTGAACGGAAGTAGTCTCGCATGCTACCCCTCCCCACTTAGTGAAAGTCAAAATTAATTTCGATGAAGCTCAGAAAATCGTGTGGAAAGAAATAAAATGTTTGTACGGTTTGATAAAAATAGTTACTTCAAATCACATTCCCGAACTTCTATAGATGCAAGTTGAATCGAGAAGCCGAAATATTCACACCTAGGGGACCGGCGGCGGTTTCATTTCAACACACGTTGTGACCACGCAGAAGAGCATCAGAGGCAGCCTTATTGGTAAGCCGCGCATTTGCGTTCGTCTTTAATTGGTTTAAAGTAATCATTGCTCTATCATTGTGCTTATCCAAGGGAGCTCTTCAACATACAGTCCACACATCAATCATAGCGGCCGAGATAATCTGACTAAAATTTTTTTCGAGCTCCAATATTTCGGTCCGGACTTGAGGCTCACTCGAACAAAATCAGCAATACAAATTCGGTCAATGAAAAATGCAGACTGCAGACCGGGTACAAAATGTAGACTGCAGACTGGGTACAAAATGCAGATTGAGAATTTATACTGTTTTTTTCGCCTGATACGTGGTAACATGTCATCTTACAACTTACCGAGCGTCACGCAATCGTTTTTCCGCGATCATCTTTCTCGATTATTTTCACTATTGTGGAATATTCCTTGCCCGTTTCTTGATCACAATCGTTCTTAATATAATTTCAAGCCTTCCTGTAGTCTTCTCGCTTTGCGCGCGAGGTGGTTGGTGTGGTACCTGTTCAGAATATACCAACTTAATAAAAGTAGATGTAGATGTAAATGAGATGTCCCTATTGAAAAATTAATTATTTCTCGATATTTGAGAAAAAAATGTCAGCTTTGAATGTGGTCCATACGTTTCATCTTTATAACCGATATGAGTACATTCTGTTGACAAAAATGCGGACCGAGACTAAAACTGTTCTTTCGACTTGATATATTTTCAACGTTTAGGGGTGTACAAACATCGATTTTCATATATGTGCCTTCTATTGTTATTAGCTTACATGAGGAACCGGCGAATTTTTATAGGGAAAAGCGAAGCGTTACTTTCGTGACTGGCCATTTGTCTACTTTTCTGTTGGTTTTATCTCTCATCTGTCTGGTGACAACGCAGATATCGGTATGAGAAAATCAGACTACATGAAGGCTCTAAATTCTATTAAAAACGATTGTGGCCGCTTTGTTAATCAAAGTGCTCTGTGAGCAAACTCGTGAATTTACACATGATTTTTTGGATTATGTTTAATGTTATCTGGTTTAGGGAATTTTGTGGTTGATTGTCATATCTAGAGTACGAGCAGTAGTTCAGTGTTCGCTGGGATAAGAAGGCATTACAATTGAAATGATCATGCTATTGCATTTTACAAGGGTGGATGATGTCATGTGTTTTAAACGTATATCATTTCTGTTTCTGGTTCAAAAGAAAAGGTTGGAAGTAAATGTGGGTGAAAAGTGAAATTTACTGTCTATCATTGTAAATATTAGAAAATCAAGGCAATACTGTCTTAATGAAAACATTAACGATTCCCTCTTTATCAAATGAGACAAACGGGAACGAGTTTTGAGTGATATACCTAAGCCAAGACTGTCACCGTCATTTTGGATCTCCGCCTGGGTAGATTTTAGTCACGTGCTAGGCAACGTATAATCACTAACAAGATAGAATTTCATTTCAGGCCTATTTATCAATTTTGTGGTGTATAACTTTCGCATTTTAGTACGTAATATGTATTTTGAATCTTCAAATTGTCTTGAAACTTAAAAGAAAATTGTTCTTTAAAAAATTCACTGAAAATCGGTAGCTAAAATTGTTTGTTTAGGTGTCATTTGATTTTCGTGTTAACTTGTAATTTTGTTAGTCGCCGGCATCTTTCGTTGCCTCACACAGGAAAAACACACGGTACGAAACGTAACGATCGATTTTGTTCTCAATCTCACGCCGTAACAGAAAAAGCTTTTGAACATCTGTAAACTCCGAGTGCTTCGCAGTAAGTGATATTTTCAATGAATCTTCGGATTGTTTTCAAGTTCAAGGATTGTAAATTACAATTTTATGAAAAACGAAGGTTGTTCTGTTATTTCAGTGTTAATCTTGCATACCTGCCAGTCGCTGGCGCCGCTTGTTGAAACTAAAACTAAAAAAAAAACTCTTTTAAAATTATCTTTGGCTTCTTTGTCACCCCACCACTATTCTTTGCAACAAAGGTCGCCATTTCGTTTGTTTATTGCTCGCCAAAAACTATCAAATGCGCTCAAAAGCCTAAAATCGAAAAAAAGTTTACAGGAGTCGACCAATCGAGCGAGCGAGTGCCATTCCCCACATCGTATCTACAACTCGCTCTTGCGCAAGCGCGCAATTCACGAGTTAAAAAACCAAATGCAATGGCCGCTTTGTTCAAAACAAAAGATATCAAGAAACGGGCAAGGTGCAAATGATCGTGAGAGATGAGGATTACTAATATTTCTCTACTAGAGCAACATTCAATGCCTGACTATGCCCACCCAGCCCACCCTCCGCCCCACAAACACACACACATACCAACAAAAAGGACACTGTCTGCCTAATGACCTCTGCCAACACAACCTTTTTTCCAATTCCCATCACGACGAATGCACAAGTTTTCTTATCATGCAACAGCCCAAAAATCTAAAAAAAAATTATTGCCATAAGTCTTGAGAGTTCACAGAAGTTGAATTAAGTTGTACCTATATTCAACAAGTCCAAGAAATCAATACAAACTTAAGCCATAACATTAATGAGCTGGCTCCAAGTGCCCTTTGATTCTTCTTTTTTCCAATTCCATGTAGAGATAAGTCGTTTAAGAGGTCTTTTACTGTGACATTGCCTGGATTAACCTTCTACAGTGAGATATAGATCGACTACACGCCTACAGAGTAGATCTACACGGATCATCACACATTGCTCTCGCCCATCTGAGGCAACAGAGCAGCTGCACTGGCCGACTCTTTCCAGCATACGCTCTTACCACAAGGCTAGACTCGTTTTTCTCTGTCTTCACTCAATAGTCCCTAGTTATTTTTATTATATTTTACTAGATTTTCGAACATTCACAATTATTCCACAAGGTAGAGTATGAGGCTATCCCTACCAAACGTTAAACAGAATTTCGAGAAAAGGACCTTTCTTATTACTAACGCGAAAATTTTTAACCAACTCCCCGTAAACATTGTGAAGAGTGAAAACATTCAGACGTTCTGCTGCTGAGCAAGACATTTCTTTTTATCATGACTTTGATGTTTTATTATATTTTAGGCTTTAAAAGTGACTTTGCATTGTATTTTTTAGGCTCTTAATTTAGTTCTTAAATTCTATTTTTGTATTTTTATTAGGCTCTTTGAATGTGATAGTTTATGAAAATTCGTAATGCAAATTAATTTTTTAAGATACAGGGCCCCTATGGAGACCAGCCTTGAAGCTAAACGGGCTACCCTGTGTAAATAGAGTTTTTCATTTTTCTTTACTTTACTTTTAGCTGCCTTTCTGTTGCCTCTGCTGATCGAACCTCATATATAGCTTTCTCCTAGGTGAGGTCTGCAATCCTGAATAGTCTCTACCTTGTTTTTGTTTCAGTGATGCCTAGCACAATTCGATCTTTAATATAAGAATTCTTCATTGTGCTGAATTTACGTTTCACTTAGCTTTCTCAACACGATCACATATTGATCAATGGTTTCGCCATTTTATCGGGCTCTTGAAAAGAACTTGTATCTCTCGTAACTAATGTTTTTCCTCGGTTCATAGTGTTCCTCAAATTTCTGTTATACTTTGTCGATCTTTTTGACATCACCTTCCTCATCCTAGGTTAGAGTATTAAATAAACAACAGATGTTTTATTATCAAGATTTTTAGGCTCTTCATTGTTCATCATGCGTCCTTGAGAAACGACATCCTTGGTTTAGTCTTTGTTATTTCCAGCACGCTTAATGCGAAGGCAGTGGTTGAGACATACACAAATTACATGAGCGGCTGTCGATAACAACCGTAGTCAACAACTTCAATAAGAGAGCACATTAGAAGTGTTTCGTTGTTTTACTTATTTATATATAATGTATATTTTTTGTTTTTGTCAAAATGATCGATGCTATTTAAAGCTGACAAATTGTCGCCCACAAAGGGTATAAAAGATATGGTGCTATGTAGGAGGCCCGTGTTGTACGAAAGTACGATAATTTGAAGTTCCGGTGTTTGGGTGGTAAAAGCACCCACCTTTTCTCTTTCTTTTTCAGAAATGTTATTGGCATTGCTAGATATTGTCCTGAAATACAGTAAACAAACAATGACTTTGAGGTCAGTTCAGCATTTAAAATGCGTTTCTGGTGTTCGGTTCATTTTATGTTACTTCTTCTGTCAATTTCACTGCAAATCAGAGCAGAAATTTACAGGAAGAGGAGAGAAAAGTGGGTTAAATGCGCTGTAATGATTTCAGTAAAAACTAATAAATATAACATTAAAGAAAAATATGTTTTAGTCCAACTGTAATGCGGACCATTACAGGTGATGAGACATCATTGCCCTATGATGCAACTATGATTTAATTGGAAATGAAAGCCGACAAAATAGCCTCTTTTATTGTAGTTTTATGACAGGTGACTGAGAATAGAGGAGAAAATTGAAACTTCTCTGCTAATTACAGAATGCAAAGAAAAACACAAGAAGTGATTAGCACGAGTTTGAGGTTAAAGAACTCACCAAGCATATTAATAAATAATGCATTTAGGTTTCCTCGAGCCATGTATGTTTTGACACGTAATATTACAACTTTCTTTCGATAAACTTTTGTGGTAGCTTTTGACAACAATGGTTGCCTCCGAATAGAACAAAAAATGTTTTAAAAGATATCTTGATGTAACCACGAGTTCTCAAGCCCTTTCTTACAACTTGCTTATGTGTGTAAACCATTTACACCTACTGATGTTAAGCTGAAAGGCATGACAAGTTTTTGTTACCATATGTGGCTAATTCTGGAAAAACAAAGCGAATAAAAAAAGAGTGCCAAAAATGTGATGAAACGATTTTAGAGAGACGGCAATTTTCCTTCACGTCTCGTTCAATTAAAACCGCTTAACACTTAGATAATTTCTCACTTAAATATACAAAGCCCAATTCCCAAAGAACACACTTGCAGTTGGCGCTGTGGCGTCACTAAGAGCCCAATGGAGTTGCACTTCAGGCTTTCACTCAGCAAAACACCCGCAGGGTATTTAAGAGGCCACAACAACACCGAACGTCACAATCTAACAAGCACGTCGAAAGATCATGGAAGTGATGAAGAGTCTGTTCGTAGCTGTGTGTGTTTTCCTCTTCGCGGTACAATGTCAAGGGCAATTGTCATATTCATATCATCCTATGGGACGCGATGAGATAGCAGACGACTCGGTAAGGAAGGAACTGAAGTGATAAATTGCTTATAACGATAGATATCTTTGAATGAAATGTGTCAGAGCCTATAGGTTCGGTAGGACACAAAACTATTGAATTGATTTTGCTTTAATTTCTTATTTTATAGTTTCCCTCATCAGATTAAGGCTTTTTTCAACATTCAACTCAGAAAGTTATTATTATATGAACTGGATTTTAAAAGCCAGCGAGTATCTTTTTTTATAGTAGGCGTGAGGAGTCTGGGTGCTCTATTTCACCTATACGTACCTAAAAACAAGCATGTGTTGATCAAATTGACGGATAAATAAATAGCAGTAGAAGTGGGCTGAAAAGAGGTTGAAATTAAGTTGACGACAAATACTAAATTGGTTTCCTGTTTGCAACTGTGAATTTAATACAAAAAGATTAAATCAAACTCGCTTTTTCTTTCATGCCTTTGGATTGCACTAAACGTGCACGGACGTTTTTACTCTTCTCACATCTGAGAGTCTACCTAATCATATTGCTATTACGTTTATTCTTCAGGAGTCCCTAGCAGCACCATACAGAGTAATCTTACACAACAGGAGATTTATGAAAGTACCACGCAACCGTAACATTCGACCTGCATACAACAGCATGATTGGAAAAGACTCTTTGGAATATGACACGACATCCCGTGCTTTTTCGAAAGAATACGAAGCAAAGTGAACGTTAAAATCGACCATTAGACGAAAGGAAATGAACCAATCCCAATTAGAGGAAGGGCTTTCAAACATACAGATCATGAGAACTTTGTCTTTTTTTCTTTTGGTTCTTGAGTATCATTGTTAATTTGATACAAAGGAAAACACATTAAGCAGGGTCTTTCGTTTTTTTGTGGAATTACTCTTGAATGAAGAGTGGTTCCGAGAAGTTTTTTCGACTCGAAAGAAAAAAAAGGTTAATGGTACAAAATGTATTCATATGTACGACAAATGGGATCTATTAAAGAGAAAGTTGGCTAAAATGCTTTACTACCCGGTGAATATGGTATTCTAACTTTCCGTTTTCCCACGCATTTTCCGTCTCATGTAAATTGTTCCCAGCAGAATGTAGGAAATGTGTCATATCTTCTCTATACCAACGAGTTTCCCAAATTTCAGAGTTACAGCATCTTCACTTTGCACTTTCAAAGAGATTAAAATGTCGCCCGTTTCCTCTAAAAAAACTTCTCTCTTTTCCGCGCCCGTAGGAAATAAATGTGGCACCTTACTTTCCACTCAGGTGAGCGTCCTGTCTTCTTTTTTCAAGCTAATAATAATATCGCCTTAGCCTAATGGGCTCGGTTGGCGACAGTTTGGCGTGAATCGGGGTCAGCGGTATCACGTCAATATATTTCTTCCATGATGGAATGAATTGTTGGAAACGGACCAACAGCGAGCAAGTAATCACACAACCACAATGAATAAAAAACCTTAAATTTAATCTGCATAGCCAAAGCGTTAAGTGCGACAAGCATGCAACGCTGGAATAAGGCAACTTCGGGCATTAATACCCGGTAATGGATTCAGCGTTGCAATTTCTTTATTCACTCAAAAATCGCTCATTGTTGTGCTTCGTTTTTGAGCACCCAGTGAGCCTGAATGCTGCCTTGAGGTAGGGGATCAGGGTGGCTGACTGTCCCTTGGGTGGCTCACGGGACATGTGTCCTTTGTGCAGTTTTCTAGACGAGCAGCAGCAACTGCTGAGCGATGGTGTTACTAGGGTAAAGGGTAGACATACGCGAGTGGAAGAACGCGAAAAAACTACTGCGCCGGAAGCCATGATCGATCCTAGATTTTATAATAATTATGAAATTCTCACGTGCTCACTGGTCGAGAACTTCTGTCAATAAGGTTATAAATGATAAAAATGACGTATCATCTAACGCAATGCTGATGAATTTATCTGTACTGTGTGAGTCGCTGATAGATTTGGGGCTCTTTTCCAAGATTAGAACTTCTCTTTTTAACAAATCTTCCGAACAAATTTCCACCAAAGAAAGTATTAGAAAAACTTACAAAGGTCAAAAAATTAAAATAGATTTCGTTCGAATTGTGGTAACTGAGTATGTAATATCAGTACTTATGGGTGTTGTGGGAGTTTTGAGTAAAGGCACTGAGAGGAAAGAAAGTGAAATTCCTGGAAGAATAAAATTGCAGGAAACTGCACAGAACAACTCTGCATTGAAAACGATATCCGCACATTCTCAAGACGATTTAGCAGCACAGAATGTGGAAGGGCAAAAAAATATCCTCCGTGAATCACACCTTCTGAGGATCGTCTTCTTGGTCAACTGTGCTATTGCCTTAAGGTCAGCGCCAAGCCTCTTAAAAAACACAGTTTCCTCAGCTTGTCCCTATAAAAGCCTTTATCTTTTCGTCACACAAGTCTGTAATCTCCCCCACTAACATTTCAATTTTTCTTTGTTTTCAGTCGTTTCGTTTTGGTCAGTTCAGTGGTTTCGCTTGGATGTCTTTTTTTCTCGGGTGTTTTTCGCTCTTCGACCGACCGTTGGCGGCAGGGCCCTAGTCATGATATAGAGACAAACTACAGTAGTTGATACATAAACCAAGAGAACAATGGTTACCTGTACGGGAAGGCGGCTTTGGAAGCTGGTGTGACACGGGAGGTGAAGCTGTGATAAGCTTCGTCTGCTGCCGAAAATGATCGTAAATGCCTGTCACGATCAGACGTTACTCCATTGACGAACAATGTCGATGGATATCTGGAGTTCCAAGGAAGATGTTAATTCAAACTAGATTCCAAATAAGGATGCTTCATAAATTATAATCATTTCAGTTCTGATTGGCAAATCGCGAAAGCATAAGTAGACTGTTTTTTTAGATTACAGAGTTGACCACTGCGTCCTCGTTGAGATTATTTCGATATGAAGACAAAACATTATTACAGAACTTATGGTTTTATTTTTCAACGTAACAAATAAACTTTTTAGGCATTATTGTTTACAAGAGTAAAGGATGTTGCGATAATAGTGAGTTCTAAATCTAAGCATTCGTCTTACATCATTCCTGACATGTCTTGAGATATCTTCCATGTGGAAGCAATGTCCTCCGTTCAGTGAGATCTCGGTTATTCTTATCAACTTGGTTTAAAGGTACATTACTTCTCTGCGGCCTCATCTCTGGATACGCTTTTGAAATCATTTTTCTTGCTCTCCCCTTGAAATTAAAAAAAAAAAAAGATTTTCGTTAATGCTTGGCAACTATCTTCACCAGTCAGTGCCGAGAGCAATAAAACTACCAAGCGTAACTTGGTCGATTGCGATTTCCTACACTCTGCAGCCGTTCATATACTGTTACTTTGAGTTCTTATCGGCTCTGGGTAATATATAGTATTCATATCAAGTGAACTTAAATAGAAATAACTACATAGCGACCAATCCCACCAAGGAAATTACCACAGGGAGCCACTAAAGACTTGACATATAAACTATCAAAAGCCGTATCCTATATCTTCCGATAGGGAAAAGAAACTCTTGTAAAAACGTGAAATGAAACAAAATTGTTAACTGAAATAATCAATATGCCGATATGAAAAGTACAAACGCGGATCTCCTGAAAAATTCAGCGATTAGGGAAGGAGCATCAGAAAAGAGAAGGGGAAGGGGGGGGGGAGAAATTTGGGAGGTTTTAAAGTAGTCATGTTACTTTCTTTTATTTCATTAATATTGATTTACCAACAATTTTCTTTTATGTTTTCGCGCCCCACATCTTTCATCACTTTTCTGATAGTCCATATTCTATATGGTCAAGACATGACCTATAATAGTGGCCTGGAAGTATCCAGAAGAATCGCAAAAATTATCTTCATCTAAAATTTACGTAGTCAGTGAATTCAGTTCTCCAAGAAATCATGCGCTGAGAAAATTATGATTTCGCGAAGAAGCCAAAAGTAACTAAACATCGCGGAGACGAAAATAATAGTCAAAACATCGGCGAAAATGTGTGGAATTCAGCAATACGTCCAACTGTATCTTATTTCTTAGGCAAGCTGTGTCAAACCCTTGGTGCAAAGTGTCACGGTGTATCTGATCTCCCTTCCTCTAACCAACTGGATGTTTTGTGAGAAACTGCAACTCTATGTAACTTAAGATGTACAACGCTGTAGCTCAAGAGCGAAAGTTATTCATTTGATTTAACTTCTATTTATCGCCAAGGCGTCGATGTCCCCAACCATTAGAGAAGAGACTACTTAAAATCAACACATTGATAGAGTTTCATAATCATCATTATTATTTCCATGTGTGTGCAGCGTTCGAACGCTTTCGGAGAGGTTTCCTTGAGTGGAGGATTGATTGTGATAAGGTATTATGTCCTCTGTTTTACTCGCGAAACAGATGAGAAAGCGGTGAAAGACTTTGGAATTAAGCTTTAATAGCTACGTTACAGTCGCATGCTGAATGAGTGATGTGAAAGATTAAATGCATGGTGAGTGAATACTTACTAAAGAGCGTCCATCTTTGCATCGGCGTCTCATGTTATGTGTTAGCTGTCCCTGCGTCTCTTGTACATAAAGCAAGAGGCAGGCCAACATAGTAATAAGAAATAACAATAACAAGGTTTTCATCTCGGTTTTTTTTTTCGTGCGTCAGTGTACTAGGTCCACAAGATAACAGTACTCTACTTTCTCGTGCCTTTAAGTGAACTAGGAAACCGATCGGTCAGTCTCGTTAAAAACCCAGAACATAATAGTTTCCAAAGAAATACGGAACACCTTTTTTATATCGCCTTCTTGTGTTATGTCGCTTTTTAAGTCATGCAAATTTGAAACATTTTTGATAAGGACACTGGACAAACCAAGTACTTAGTCAGCTCTTTTGCAAAACTGCTATTAGTTCACCCCCGCCGTTTCCAGTACGTGGGAGAAATTGGGCGGAAATCTCTAGATCAGAATGATTTCCTGTTTCATTTTTATTTCCTTGACGTCAAAAATGTTCAAGTTTAGTAGATTCTAAAATAAATTTGCGTATTTTGACCGACTTATCCATAATCTGTTTAAGAGGTTAAGTACAGGAAAATGTTTTCGCAAAGTGAGTAACGCAATGATAGAAGTAATGATATATCTTATCGTGATGGATTTTTCCCTTTCCAACACTTAACGTCAACGAGCAATCAATTTGCTGTTAACGTCAACCACTTGATTCGTGAATTTTGATAAAACCAAGCGCAACTGATCATCTCTTCGTGTTAAAATAAAGTTTGTTTTTCCATAAAAGGAAGAAAAGGAGTTTCAAGGTAATTTGGAAGATTGAGTTCAAACTCAGCGTTCTTACGATTATGTGAGGAAAACTCAAAGATGCATAGTGAATGTTTTGCACCTCCGTCAACAGTCATACACCAACATGTCTTAATCAACTGCATTTAGACTCCACACAATGAGTAAAAGCGTTCAATTCCTGAATTGAAGAAATCGACACGTTAACTAGGTTCTGCCTCAAATGGACCGTCATAACTTGTTTATGAGAAATTTCAAATTTAGAAGTCAAAATCACTGTTTTACGACTATGTTTTAGCAGCTGTGTCCTATTTAAATGAGGCAAAGAGGTTTGGTACACTCGCACTACGTTAGTTTGACGATTTGTACGCTGTAGTCGCAAACAAACTAACGAGGTTATGTTTATTATGTACAATCATCACTCTCGTTTACTCCGTTTACATAGGACATTCTGACACTGAGCTTGTCAAAGCTTGAAGTCGGACTTTCTTTCTCATTTGTGCCTGCCATTGATCTCTTACAGTTAAGGGCTTTTGTGACACCTGAGGGGAACTTTATCCTCTCAAAAAAAAAAAAAAAAAAAAAAAAAAAAAAAAAAGAAGAAAAAACCCCGAAAACCCTCCCTAAATTTACTGATTGTAGGAGTTGAGTACCTTACGCCTCATTTAAGTTCTTGGTGCCATTTTTGGTTTGTCTTTACCCAAATTGAATCCAGTCTTGTATGCTAAGTAGATAGACAGCCTTGACTTTAAATAGCTATAATTTTATTTTCTTTACTGGGTTTAAGATGATAAATGGTTAGGCTCGGCGCATTCAAATTGCTTGATATCAATTGCAGTATCTTTTATTTTTTTAATTTGTTTTCATTCCTGCCAAATATGTATTCTAAAAAAGATGTGAATGCCTATCAAACGAGTACAATGAAGAATTCGCATTTCTTTAGTACGGATGAAACTTTTGTAGTGCTTCTGTTGCCTGCCAAATGAAAGTTTCACGAAGGGAATAGCTATTTGTGAATTTTTTCTACTATTTTCATCAAAGATATGGCCCGCCTATCAAACGACGCAAATGATAAGAATTGGCCCTTTTGCTTTTCTTAAACTATGGATGCTATCTCTCAGCAAGGTTTTCGAAACTTGAAACCGAGTTGAAAGAAAACTGAACTACTCTGAATCGTTGTAAACTTAGAAGTTCTCGTCCAATTTTACCGTCCTTGTTTATTCAATACATTAATTTTATCAATTGAAAGATACTACCTCGCCAAAATGTCTCCTTTCCTATAAATCGTAGCCCTCCGGTTGATCAGAAAGTACTCGAAAAAGTGGGTTCATCCGGTCTTTAAAATGTTTTTCCCCCGATTTTTCCTGATTGAAACGTATTTTGTTCCGCTTCAATAACTAAATGATTTAAAATTTCAGCTGGTACATAATGAAGACAACGCTCCTGAAAACACGTATGACTTGCTGTTGTTTCTACATTTAGAGTACATGCTTCGATTTCGCCATATTGAACGTTTATTGCTTAAAATAGTTCAGCGCTGTACAGCAAATGACAACTACAAATTGCAAATGAAGGGGTTGGATTAGGTAAGGGTTGGGTTATTTTTATTTTTGTTTTTGTTTTTTCTTTCAGAGTAAAAGTTAGATTTAGTATCGGAGTAAGCTTGGTGCAATAAAAAGAATACTGAGCTAAAGTGACCTCATATAAAAATTTAAATCTGCATCACGGCTGTGCCAATTAATTTTTACGAGAGGTATTGGGGGAAAATTGTTATAAAGTCAGGTGTGGCAGCAGTATTTGCTGTTATTGTCCATCGTTGAAGGCTACGTACACTACAGCTAACTACAGTGGAAAATAGAGTGACACGCAATGAAAAAATCAATGGTATCATACAAACTTGAGTGAGTTCCTTGTTTTTGAGTTTAGTTCAGTCCACTTTCAACGTCCAACGTATTGGATGATAAATTTGTGCGCTGAAAACGAACGTGATTTGAGAAAAGTGTTTTGATCAATTTATGTTGTTAGGTGCAATATCATCATTACAGTAATCATATGCAGATATTTAGCACCTCTCTTCATTGAAAAAGGCTATACTTAGGGGAATTTTGTTCGTTTCAAGCCTGTCAAACGTTCATCCTCGTACTATCGGGTTAGGAATGTTAAATACGTGTTGAAGTTCCGGTCAAAGCCAATCTTTTCGTGCCACTCATGCTTTGCGCGGCATGAATAGCAAAGCGTGTCGCCAATGTACGTAATGATATTGACGTGAAGATATGCGATATGGTATTTGAAGCAAAGCGGTTGAAAACTAGTCTCTCGCCAGTTTGGAACATATTTGCAAGTTTAAAAAACAAAACGGTCCTCGCAATAACCTATCTTTAGGTTTAACCGAACTAACCGAGCGATGGGAAACTGCCATATGGCAAGCGAAAGGGAAGCTGTTGTTGTCTCAGGTAAAATTGTCTATCGATACACTGATCAAACAATATCCTTAAAAAACGCATATTACGAGAACCATCACATCTACTTTGACTATACGCCTTTTGCATCATTGATGGTACACTTGGCTTTACTGAATTTGTTCCATTCAAGAAACATAATAGTTTTATTAAAAGAGGTGAAATAAAATAATGTGGTCCGTATGTGACAACAAAAATTTTGTTTAAATTTTGTTTAAATTTTGAATAAAATATTCCTATATTTCCTTCAAACAAATATCCTTTGTTTTCTTTCAGTGACAAAAGTGCAGATCTAATTTCTTCGTCAGACTAAGGTGGCCAAAGTGTATGACTTTAAATAGTCGTCTTAAAGACAGGAACAACAATGTACATCAGTCTCTTTCATTCAAGAGACGTTTTATGACTCAGTAAGGACGGCAAGACACTGACCTTTGAACGCTTCCCTGTACAAACACTTGAATTATTAAATCAATAAGATTACATGTAATTTAAATGTGCATTTTCTCTCTAAGGTGGATGTTGCATTCCTCGAACTCAGCAGCACAAAGCGGTTGCGGGCAAACGGAGTTGTCTGTGGGCCTGGGCGGGGCTTAGTAAAGTTGATAGGTATCGTAAATTGTTTAGTTATGAATGATCACATTGTAAAGGAATGGGATCAACGAAACCACCCCATCCTGATTAAACGGTGACGTCACTCCACTCTTCAGATTCTTCTGCGTTTTAATTCTACAGTCGCATCGTCTTTACTTGTTTACCCGGGGTGCCATGAACACCCTCAAGATTTACTAGGTAGGCCTAAGGTCTCTGTTTTAGAACCGGAATAAGTGCGAAGCCTAAGATTTGTGAGCGATTTTTTGCGTATTTTTTTAAATTAGCTTTGTGCTTGGTTTCGTTTTGAAAGAGAAAATGTTTTCGCAAATAGCTTGTCACTTTACCTCTTGGAAAAAAAATTAATCGACGGGTCGTTTATGTTTATACTTAGCATAGCTGAAAGGTTTCTTTTGCTAAAGAATTGTCATTTTACTTTCTCATCAGAAGAGAGCGGTGCACTCACCTCTCGAGCCTAGTACTACTGAGTCAGGCTTAAAGATAGAGGAACGCGACAAGAGTTTAAGAGGGGAGGCGAATACGACTGTTTCTTGCTGTATCTGCCAAATCCCCTCTATGACATCCAGTATATTTTGAGACTTAGGCAAGCCTTTTGTTAATGATCGATAGTCTTGAGCTAATGTCATCTTTCTTTACATTTCAAACTTTCATAATGACTCGGTGAGTTAAATGTTTCTACTCCTTAGCTGCAATTTGGAATAGGCGATGGCTAGCCTCCTCAATCAACTTAATTGTAAACAGTGCCACGCCATAAACTCACTAAGACACATATTGAACCTTAAAATGACTCTTAATTTGTCAGGTGTTGTAACCAGTGATTTAGCCATAGCGAGCTTTTGATTTATCCCGTCCAAACGTTTCCCTAAAAGGGGACCTCGTTGACACGGCCAACGGCCACACTCGGAAATGCAAACCTGTACTATTCACACCTTACTCATTAACATGTTAACTGAGACTAAATAAACATTCTCAATCTACCAAACAAAACAATACAGTATTGAAATCGTAACTGAAAAATGCCCTCTCTTTATTCAAAGCACCTTGACTTGTGAAGTGAATTGATAATACCCCACACCTGGTCTGTCCAGAGACCTCCCCGTGTTATTATGCCGATCTATTTCTTTAACATGGTAGCTTTAAGAGTTAGAAATGTGTCACCTAGGTTCAATTATGGAAATAACGATGACAAAATTTTTAATAACAGCATATTTCTTACAGGTTAACCCTGGATGTACTTACGTTCAAAAAGGTTTACAGGAATGTCAAAACGGCGCGAAGTGATCGAGCTTCTGTCTCAATCATTGCCGAAGTACAAATTATGCAGGATCTTCAACATTTCGCAAGAGCAAGTGATTATTTCCTCGGAAAAACCACAGATGAAATATCTGATGTTGTTCTTCATGTTTTCGAGGCACATCTTCGTGATATCTGTGAACAATTAATTCTGAAACGCATCGAAGAAGGTATGGGTAGTTTTTTAACCCCATAGTTTCTTGTATCATCTTCTGATTATGAATCTTTAGCCAACAGTAGACCTACTTCATGAGACGACTGGTGTAAGTGGGGGAGCTGAGGCCCAGCTAGAGGTCAATTTCGGACATGATACCGAGTCCAGTAATAAGGGAAGGCTTCCCTCTTTCCGCCACTAGAACCAAAACTACCAAAGGTGCACAATTGGGAAATAAGGTTTTTTCTTTTCAAAGAACCTGGTTTCTAAGCCATCCGATGCGTTGTTTAACGGAACGTTATGATATGATGCGAATCAAAACGTCAGATTTTCCAAGTTGATATTCAACTAAGCTTTGGACGATCTTTAAAAAAATCTTTGACTTGTTAATTAATTGTTGATTTCTCTTCGTCCTGACTATTTCAGATGCAAATCATTTGTCAGTAAAAGTGCGGAAGGCAGCCACTCCGGACGTATGGGATCTGGGAGTGTTAATTCATGACTTTTTCATCACGGACGTCACAAGGGAGGATTTCTAAAAGTTACAATAGAACACAAAGAATAATCAACAATAAGATCAATGAAATGCAATGAGTTCAAAACGCGGTTGACTATTGAGAGCTCGGAAAGTGTCTTCTTTTCCTGTGAGTTCATAGAGCACTCTCTAAGGAACCAGCAGCTTACTCTTAGAGTAGACTCTCTGTGTAGTTCCAAGGGTGGGAGGCATTATCACAGGAAGGGACGTAAATAAACAAGAGTTCCGTTACAGAGGTAAATTTCTCAAATTTCAACATAGGCGTCCAATATAGGGCCACTCGTCTCAGGCATGCGTTGTTTTAGATATTCCCACGGTAGCAGAATGTGATATCATATCACAAGGGAGAAGCCAAATATTTGACAGAATACAGTGGAAGTGTGATTAAGTTTGGCAGACGCATTAGAAGGCCAGTACGAATAAGGAGCGTGTCCACGAGAGCACCGGGCAGTCGTGCTACATGACATCTCACCGATTTCAATGAAACTTTGCCAGTTTAAAAGGTCTACCCCAAAATTAAAAAGGACGAGGTGGTTTCTGTTTTGGTTTTTTCCGGGGGGAGATAGACCATCCACCCGGTTTTTCTTGGTTTTTACCAAGGAAATCGCCTCAAAATAGGTAAAATGTATGAAGCTCTCACTGCGATGGTATTTAACCAATTACTCTGAGGGTTTGCACACATATCATTGCACCCTTACTAAATGTCCGATGCAAGTATCAGTCAATTTGATTGACGGCTTGTCAACTAAGAGAGGCAAATAAACAACAATGCTTTTAGACTTTCCGATTCATCCAAATATTTGACAACTTTGAGGTCAAATATCTCCCCTTGCCAGAAAGCTACAACACTTATCTTAATGCCCTTTATAATCCATCATTTCATCTCTGAAGACCATCAAAAAAATCTTTGGGCACTACCATATTTTTGTCTTGGATGCCTTTTAAAATCTGCGACTGTGACAAGTTTCTTTCAACTTCACCTGTCACGCAATTCTGGCTCAGGCCGGTCACTTGACCGAATAATCCTACATTTTTTAGCTCTTCATACAAAATGATTAATCAAGAAAGCTAAAATATGTGAAAAACTTTCGAGATTTTTCGTAGGGATGGAAAATTTCACGTTTAGATGCATGTAGGCGAAAAATCGATGTCAAAATCGTAGCGTTTCTTTCTTCTATCGTTTATTACTTCGGAGATTTTCTAAAATCAGCAAATATGGCTTTTTTATGGTGCAAAGCATTCATCAGTCTATAATTTGATTGTTTATAACCATTATTGCACATTTAAGGAGATTTTAAAGTCACGCTGCGTGTTGGTTGACATTATTACAAGTTCCAGTGTGCTACAACTTCGGCTTCTACAGACGAGAAATTCTGCGCTCTCGCTAGAGAGCGAATATTAATAACTCTTTCAAACAAAAAACTGTGCTACTATCCCGAAAATAAAATTAAAATAGTGTTGTTTTCGTCACTTACCGCCATCGAACATTTCCATGCATAATTCCGCAAAACTAACATCTGTTGCGTGACCCGAAGGCTTTCCGTAGGAATTATTAAAGCGCGTTGTTCATGCTGTCTGCTAGATAACAATTTCAGAATAATCTGCAGATCTCTGTGATTATTTACTTGCTTAGATGTTAAAGTATCTGCATTTTTTTTCAAGCATTCTATTACTACATGTAAATCTACACCTCGCTCGATCGAGTGTTACCGGCGTGACATGTAAAATATTGTGAGAATGAGCCAACAGTATTTTGACCAGTAGGCTTCCTGCAAATTTTCCATGATGAAAAAATCTCAGGACGTAGTCCGTTGTTTTCGTGAGCAAAGACAATAAATATGAAAGAAAAGTGAGATGCAAAGGTCCTTATTTATTTATTTTTTTTTAGCTTAATAGCATCTGTACCCTCTCCTGCAGTCTTCGTCTAAATTTTGCAAGGTCCTTCCTTATCTTATGCCTCGTTCGGTCAGTTTCGACTTCTGAAGCTAGAACATCGGCATCGGCCTCTTCGTCCTCATTCACACTTACAGGGGTGACCTCGTCAATAACCAATTTTTGTTAAGGCAGATAACCGGCTGAAGTATCGAGCGATTTGCTGCTCTATCAACCAGTCAGTCGTAGTCAACATTTCTGGCCGGTGTCGTCTCTTAGTAAGAGGCGGTTGCCTTACTAGTTTCCTCCCCTGTCAAGCACACGTCTAGGAGATAATTCTTTGCTTTCTGAGAAAAGGCGGCTGCTTTTTGTGTTTTACAAAGAGCCCATCCATAGTCCACCTGGCTAGGTAGAGATTGTTCGTCAAAATTTTACCTGAGGTCAACCTTGAACGCAGCCACCCCGGTAGTTAGATGACGGCGTAATATGTGACTAACACAGTCTATAGACTGTAAGATTTTACGCCACTATGTGCGTCGGTGTATATATATATGTAAGATTTTAAGCCGTTAACTAACGGCGTAAATTCTTACAGTATATAATTTACCGATTGGAAGAAATTACGCCGTTAGTTACTGGCGTAAAATCTTACATATATATATCACCGACTGGTAGAAATTACGCCGTTACTTACTGGCGTAAAATCTTACAGTATATAATATACTGACTGGAAGAAATTACGCCATTAGTTACCACCGTAAAATCTTACAGTATATAATATACCGACTGGAAGAAATTACGCCGTTAGTTACGGGCGTAAAATCTTATTGTATATAATATACTGACTGGAAGAAATTACGCCATTAGTTACTAGCGTAAAATCTTACAGTATATAATATACCGACTGGAAGAAATTACGCCGTTAGTTACTGGCGTAAAATCGTACATATAAAGAATGCAGAAGGGACAGTGACGTGGGTACTGTTCATTACCACTTTCGCGGCACTGTCCAAAATCTAAAAATATCGAAATGAAGAGTTTTTTGAATGTGAAATGTCTCATAATGCATTCTGTCTAAATTCAAATGGCAAGGGATAACGTGGGTAATGACTGGTCTTGAAAATGCGAACTGGAACGATAACACATCCTAACACACGCACACAAAAAAAGCAATACAAGAGGGTCTCAATGGGGTTAACCGTTAGCCGGAAATTGGCCAAAATTTTAACCGATAGCTGTAAAAGCCATCACCCCATTGAGATCCTCAAACAAGACACTCGAATTCAAACTAGACTGTAAACATTTTTTTAAAGTTTATGGTAGGAGCACATATACGACTGTACAGTGAGAAAGTTGTAACAAACGAAATGCCCGTAGAAGCTGTCCATTCCATACCTTGTCACTTTTCAAGCTTAGCTAAAAATTTGGCGCACCACTTACTAAGGTAGCCTCGCTAAAACATGATAGAAAAATGGAATAAACATTCCCGTTAATTAATTTTCACGCCAGCAGCAAACGGCGTAATTTCTTCCAGTCGGTTGTGTTTATATGCACGATTTTAAGCCAGTAACTAACAGCGTAATTTCTTTCAGTCGGTGGTCTTTATATGGAAGATTTAGCGCCAGTAACTAACGGCGTACTTTCTCTCAGTCGGTTGTGTTTATATGTAAGATTTTACGCCTGTAACTAACGGCGCAATTTCTTCCAGTCGGTAGTCTTTATATGTAAGATTTTACTCCAGTAACTAACGGCGTAATTTCTTCCAGTCGGTTGTCTTATATGGAAGATTTTACGCCAATAACTAACGGCGTAATTTCTTCCAGTCGGTTGTGTTTATATGTACGATTTTAAGCCAGTAACTAAAGGCGTAATTTCTTCCAGTCGGTAGTCTTTATATGGAAGATTTTACGCCAGTAACTAACGGCGTAATTTCTTCCAGTCGGTAGTCTTGGCTTATACTATTTTGCGAAACGAAACGAAACGAAACGAAATCAGGTGAGATAGAACAAAACTAAAGGAATAATGCAGATATATTTTCTAACAAGGTAAAGAAAACTTTCACAAGGAATTTTGAGTAATCGTTCATTAACAAGAAGGATTTTTATTCATTTCGCAAAATAGTAATTTTAGGAGCGTTACTATTTTGCGAAATGGAATTTTTCACCCTGCGGTGACAGCGTGACCTCTTCCATGTCA